AAGACAACATGGTACTCCTCTTGGGGCCCATCATGGTTTAGTCCATGTCCACCGTGGGTTCCAGACTCAGTCATCCTACCAGGATCCAGAAAAGCATGGTGGTGGTGGCAGCTAAGAGGGGCCCTGATATGCTCTCAGGCCAGAAAGAGTGAGTTTAGAACTGTCAAGTGAGTGAGAAGGGGAAGGTCTGGGCCCAAAAGCCACAGGACCTGGGGCTGGTTCCTTACACCTCCATCCTTGATCTCCGGCCCATCATGAGGGTGACACTATCTCATGGGGTGGCCATGGGGACCATACAAGATGCAGATGGAGCCCCTGGCACAGAAACTGGTACAGAGGGAGTACATGGCAGTCGGGTCTGTTCTGTGATAAGAAAAACACATGTGGAATTTATCGAGGGATGGCTGCCAAGCAGAGAACGGTCAGCATGCCAGTGGGGTGGGACTTGCTGCCCAAGTGCTGATCTGGCTGTCGCTGGATGGCCCTCAGATGGCTCGGCTCAATTTATTTCCTGGGTCCACATCTGATGAGAAACACGATTTAATTCCGATGACTTGTCTGATTACTGAGGGAGATCAAGGAGCACAGCCTTCAGTATGGACCACACGTCAACATAAAGAAAACACAAATCCTCACAACTGGACCAATGAGCAACGTCATGATAAACAAAGAAACGACTGATGTTGTCAAGGATTTCATTTCACTTGGATCCACAACTAACTCCATGGAAGCAGCAGTCAAGAAATCAGACGACATATTACAGTGGGCAAATCTGCTGCAAAAGACTTCTTTAAAGTGCTGAAGAGCAAAGATGTCACTTTGAAGACTAAGGTGCTCCTGACCCAAGCTGTGATATTTTCAATCGCCTCACATGCATGTGAGAACTGGATGATGAGCAAGGAAGATCAAAGAAGAACCGATGCATTTGATTACGGTGTTGGCGAAGAATGTGGAATGCATCATGGCCTGCCAGAAGGAACAAGGCTGCCCTGGAGGAAGTACAGCCAGGATGCTCCTTAGAGGTGAGAACGGCCAGGCTTCCTCTCTCACATTTTGGTCACGTTGTCAGGAGGGACAAGTCCTTAGAGAAGGATACCATACTTGGTAAAGAGGGGGAAAAAGGGAAAGACCCTCAACGAGACAGACTGACACAGCGGCTGCAATGACGGGCTCAGGTCGAGCGAGGATCGTGAGACTGGCGCAGGGCCTGGCAGTGTTTCGTTCTGTTGTACACAGGGTCACTACGAGTTGGAAGTGGCTTTGTGGCACCGAACAGCAACGACCCCAGCTGCTGTGTTAGTCTCCTGGGGCTGCTGTAACACGGTTCTGGAGGCTGAAAGTTGACTTCAGGGCGTCTGCAGGGCCATGCTCTCTCTGTGGGCTCTGTGGGAACCCTTGTCCCGTCTAGCTTTGGTGGCCCTGGGTGGTTCTTGCCGTTCCTCGCCTTGTACATGGATCCTCACATACTGTCTTCCCCTGTGTGTGACTCTGTTTCCCTATCTGTCCTCTTCTATAGGACACCACTCAGAAGGGATTAGGACCAGAACCCACCCCACTCCAGTATGACCTCGTTAACCCAACCGATCACGTCTGCAAAGAATGACCTTATTTCCCACAACGGGGCCACACTCACAGCTACAGGGGTTAGGACTTTAACATGTCTCTTTAGGAGAGATGATTCAATTCATAATGACCATTCTCCCTCGAAGTATGGATTTTATAGGGAAACCTGCCCTGTATTCTCAAATTAAACCAGATGGCTGTCCGGGTGACTCCTACATTAGCCGTCAACTTCATTTTCTCCAAGCAGGAGAAGTCTAGTCTTTGCTGGGACTGTGGCCTATATCTGCCTGCTACCTTGACTTATTTCCAAAGAAAGGTGATCCCACAGAATGTGGAAATTATAGAACAATATCATTAATATCGCATGCAAGTAAGATCTTACTGAAGATAATTCAGAAACGTTTGCAGCAGTATATTGACAGAGAACTTCCAGAGGTTCAAGCCGGATTCAGAAGAGGACGTGGAACAAGGGATATCATAGCTGTTCTCATATGGATCTTGGCTCAAGGCAAAGAATACCAGAAAGATGTTTACTTGTGTTTTATTGACTATGCAAAGGCATTTGATTGTGTGGATCATGACAAATTATGGACAACATTGAGAAGAATGGGAATTCCCGAGCACTTGATTGTACTCATGAGGAATCTGTACCTTGACCAGGAGGCTGTCGTTCGAACAGAACAAGGGGACACTACATGGTTTAAAATCAAGAAGGGAGTGTGTCAGGGTTGTATTCTTTCTCCACACTTATTCAATCTATATGCTGAGCAAATAATCCGAGAAGCTGGACTATATGAAGAAAAACGTGGTATCAGGATTGGAGGAAGAATCATTAACAACCTGAGATATGCAGACGATACAACTTTGCTTGCTGAAAATGAGGATGACTTAAGGCACCTACTGATGAAGGTTGAAGAATACAGTCTGCAGTATGGATTACGTCTCAATATAAAGAAAACAAAAATCCTCACAACTGGACCAATGAGCAGCATCACAATAAATAGAGAGAAGATTGAGGTTGTCAAGGAATTCACGTTGCTTGGTTCTACAATCGATGCCAATGGGAGCAGCTGTCAGGACATTAGACAACGTGTAGCATTGGGAAAGTCAACTGCGAAGGAACTGTATCAAGTGCTGAGGAGCAAGGATATCTCCTTGAGGACTAAGGTGTGCCTGACACAAGCCATGATATTTCCAATCACCTGGTATGCATGTGAGAGCTGGACAATGAATAAGGAAGACCGAAGAAGAGTTGATGCTTTTGAGTTGTGGTGCTGGCGAAGAATGCTGAAAGTACCGTGGACTGCTAAAAGAACTAACAGATCTGTCCTGGAGGAAGTGCAGCCAGAATGCTCCTTGGAAGCAAGAATGGCCAGACTTCGTCTCACCTATTTTGTTCATGTTGTCAGAAGGGACCATTCCCTGGAGAAGGATGTCATGCTTGGTAGGGTGGAGGGTCGACGAAAGAGAGGGAGGCCTTCAACGAGATGGATTGACACGGTGGCTGCGATGATGGGCTCAAGTATAGCAGGGATTGTGGGGCTGGCGCGGGATCGGGCAGTGTTTCGTTCTGCTGTGCATGGGGTCGCTATGAGTTGGAACGACTCGATGGCACTTAACAACAACTAACAACAACAACCTTGACTTATGCTCCCATCAGGGACCTGACCAAGGCCAAGGCTGTAGCTGTGCTTGCTGAGGGAGAAGGTGTTGCCCACATCCTGGCTGTCAGGTGATGTGACGGTGCAGGGTTGGCCCCCATCACAGGAGCGATACAGCCTTGCACGTCTCGTTCTCTGTCCAGACCAGCACAGTGGTGGGAACAGCTGAGGGCTCCAAGAGCCTGAAGCCCCCCCAGAGTTCAGGCTCTCCCCAGCTGAACGCGGCCCCAGGGAGCTGAACCTTTCCCCTCTGGCCTGCACCTCGCCCCCCGTTACAGTGGAAACCAGCTTCCTCGCATGTGAGACCAGAGACCAGAGGAGGAGGAGATACTGGGCAAGGGCTCTGCAGACCAGGAAGACCAGCACCCTTACCCAGCCCCTACGTCCTGCTGGCTCTGAAGGGCTCCGAGTCAATGCTTCCTGCCCGGGGTCCAGCGCAGACACAGCCCTCCACAGGGTCCACCTCGCCCTCCTGGTCTGAGGAGCCTCCAGGCCTGCCTGTCCCATCGTGGGGACAAGGGTCTCCCTCCCACACGCCTGTCCTCTG